CCCTAAAGATAAACAGATTCTTTCAAGCAAAAAAAAAAAAATAGTAAATGAAAAGTTGGGCAGAGAGAAGGGGAGGCAATCCTAACCTACCCAAACAGATCAGTCTTAAAGACACCCGGGAGCACCAAGAGCTCAAGGGTGCGTTCTTTTCAAGGGACAAAATAAATACCCATAGGCACTGGTAGCAGGATGTCTGTTCCCAGTAAGGCTTTCAGTCAAGCTTAAACAGCACATGAAAGCTCCAGGCATTTATTCAAATGTTAAAAAGCAAACCCAGTGCACACATATTGAGGCTTCTTGCAAGGATTAATAACAAAGTCACATGTAAGCAAGAGAACGGCTTCAGCTAAGCTGCTCCACAATATAGTTTATATAGGCAAATGTTTGGGCTGGGTGCCCTGAGTGGTAAAGCCTCGCTTGGGAAATAGGATCAGCCTGAGATGACCATGCAAGTGCCCGCCAAAGCAGCGACCTTCACATGCCCCCGTTCTGATATACAAGAACTCTAGATATTCCCTTAGTGATAGTAAGAAAAGAAAAAACACCAAACTTCCTTCATTCAAAATTCCTCTCCTGCCTCGCCAAGAGACTCATGGAACAGAAGGTCTGATCTGTTGCTGTTTGAAGTCTGCAGCATCACCGCACGCTGCACCAAGGCTCCGAGTAAAGTGCCGGGATGTAAATAAGCCACGCAAGGAGCGTTTAAGGACCCGGCTGTGGCTGCAGCATTGCTTTGTGCTGGTGACCCCTAATGAAGATCACTAAAACCAGATTCCTGCTCCTCCTCACGTCTGCTCCAGGACCTCTCAGTGCTGCCTCCCCTCCTGCTTCAGTCCCGATTACAGCTGGAAGGCGCCGGCAGCACGGTGCTGAGCCGGTGCTTACCTCCATCCCCCAGCCGGGGCACCGGCACGGTGCTGAGCCCCAGCCATCCCCTCACACGCACCAGCTGAGGACTGGTGCAGGCAGGAGCCACAGCATTATTGTGGAGAAGTTACCTGACCTTACAACCAGGGACATCCACTGCCAACATCGGTGAACAGGTATAACCACATGGCAGTAAGTCTGTACCAGCACTGTGCAGCCCCCGTGTGAATCTGCCTCCAGCAACGGGTGCTGCAGTGAGCCCCCTCCCTTCTTCACTCTCCTGCCCCATCGCCTTTCACACGCACAAAAAAATCTGCATGGGCCTCTCAGCCATCCTTGTACCCATCTGCCTGGACTGCAAAGGTTGTTTGATAAACTCAATATGCACTGAATTTGTTGGGTTTTGTTTGTTTTTTAAGCGATTTGGGGTGAAGACAGGGCTAGAACTGGGTTTAAGGACACTGCGCCTTAGTGTCTGTAAACACCCTGGAGATAGAAGCAAGCTGGGTACATTTAACTACAAGATGACAGATTCCGAAGTTTTTGCAGCTTCAATAAAACTCTCAACAGCTACAGAACATTTTTTTTTCTGTGTTAATTTAATCATACAAATATTCATTTATACATTACGGAAAAAGCTTCCTTTATTTTTACCCCCAATGTGCTCAGACTCAATGAGGCAACACACCATCCTGTTCTACACATGCACTCCCCCCAGAGAGAATAGACAGGCTGCAGAACCACCCACGCACTCACACACAAAAAAAATTAAACACACAACAGAAACCCAGACGTGGGACAGCGTGCATTTCCTAACCCTGCAGACTCCAGCTGCTCTCATGCCCACATGCTCTCTGACCAGACAGCTTTGCCCCTCGGTGGGGGGAGCCGCATCTTCCAAACCTCGGAGGGGTCTGAATCCAACGCTCCTGAGATGTGAGCAGCAGATTACAGCTTCCCTCACCCCCTCAATGGGGCATTGCCAGTTTTGGGGTAGCCCTTGGAATATCACGCTCCAGTTTGCCTAGGCTGAGAGAGGGTGCCTGGGCTGCCGTTGCTCAACTCGTATTAGCGACACGACACATCCTTACTGGCTCTTGTTGACACAAGGATCCATTTAGAGATGTTCTGCATTATCTTTTTTCTTTTGGGGAAGGAAGATGTCTCTTCCCCTCCTTCTCAGGACTCCAAGACAGATGGGCATTAATCAGACTGGAGCAGGGTGCAGCCTGTCGCTGCACCCTCCCGTACCAGTGGGTACCAGCCCCATCCCTCCCCCAGTCAGGAACACCAGCCTCACTGGGTAACAGCCTCTTTACCGGTTCACCAGTCTCGACCCAGTAAGGATGTCCTCCCATTTCTAACAGGCCTGAGTTCTACATGCCTAACTCACCTGGATCGGGTTATCCGAGCCACCGCACGTGTTTCAGGCTCACCAAAATACTTGGCATTCAGCACTTTTGAAAAACCAGGCCATTTGTTTCATGTATCTGATGTTAAAACTCCGCGAGTTTGAATGCATCAGCCCTACAGAAACCAATACAATCACAGTGCCCTGAAGTCACCTGGAAAGAGCTTTGCTGAATACATCTCAAATCCCCCTATTTAAACCTGGAAACCTGACAGCAAGAGCAATTTGAGGGCTGGCCGCACCACTAAGCTCCAAGGAACCAGAGGAGGTAAAACCACCTTTGGCCTCAGTGAAACAGTTTTTACCCAAGAAAAAACCCAGAGGTAGAGCAACCACTAATTTAAACCTTCTTCCACTGTCACAGCCAGGGTTACCTCCCCAACCCTCAAAGCATCCAGAGCTCTGTGTGATCGTTTGCAGAGAGATCGTTCCCACAGACAAGAGCGCTCGCACTCAGCTACCTGGGGAAGAGCAGTGATCCGAGCAGCAAGAGGTTGCAGATTTCAGCAGCAACTCGGATCTGGCCCTGCCTTTCTTCACACCCTGGAGTAAGTGACCCTTGTCACAAGGACACCACGGACTGAAAACATTCAAGAGGAGACAGAATTCAAGTCCGTGCAGATCAAGTATGCCTTCTGAGTGGGAAAGCACATGACTACTTGGGGTGCATGCAAGTTGTTTTTTTTTTTTTTCTCAAGAAAAGAAAAAATTCAGTCTTAGGAGGAGCACGGAAATACAAAGGCGCCAGCCATTAGAGCACATGTGGCTGGGAGCAGAAGAAAGCCAGCGTGGGAGTATCCGAGATCAAGGGTCTCCCAGATGCCTCAGCTGACACAAGGCAAAGGTTGCAGAACCAGCTATAACATACAGACTCAGATCTTAATTTTTTCCCCCCTTCCACTACACAGTTGATAAAAGGAGCTAATAAAGATAAGGGATCACCTTGTCACTTGGACAAACAGCAGTCTCCAGTGTTTTAGATGCCTTCAGAAGGGAAGCAGCAGTATTGCAAGAGGTGTGATGGTCTGGTATGTGTTCATGCCTTCAGAGCGGGTCACACAAGCCACCTGCTCTGAAAGGAGGGAGCGAAGAAAGAATCCACTTGCCCACAGCACACTACAGTGATGCCAGTCACTCCCTGGACTGAATGCTAAGAGGAGACAACTAATCCAAGGCAAAACGATTAGACAAAGCACAAGAACCAGACACTACAGCTGCACTGAGCAGCACAGCTCCACCTTCCACGGGTTCACTCTGGATCTTAACACTCACCCAGCTCTAGCAAGCTGCCGAGACAGACCCAGGTGCTCACCAAACTGCAAGTGCAAATGGCTAGCAGTCCAAATCCTGCAGTGCCTCTCTCACGCAGATAATTTCATACATTATACTTGTTTCTCCCAGCAAACAGATTTTTGAAGGGAGACTCCACATAACAGTGACCTTTAACAACCGAACCTCTGAAATACAAACAAAATCGCCCAATTCTTCCTCTGTTGGACACAAGGAACTTCCACTGTCCTCCTCAAGATCCATCTGTATGCACTAAGATAAGAGAGTCCTTGGTAGCTGCAATGAAAATGAATCCCCCATTCAAAACCAACTAAGAAAACACAACTAGTCAAGAGCAATCAGTGTAAAGCCACACACCATGCAGCAAACCTGTGCTCTGCTCCAACACGGAGAACAAGGGTCTTCACTGGAAAGATCTGAAAGAAGGTAGTGCGACTTTGCATATTACTGCATCTTTGGCAGATTGCTGTTCCAGCCTTGTTCACATTTCTGAATAAGGCTGTGTCCCCTCACCTCACGCCTCTTCAGCAGGCTCTGGGGGGACAC